ATTGTTCATGGGCGGCCATGGTCATTTTCCATCAGGTGAGCCGTCTGCTCGTCTGCCCCCTCTAACATAAAAAAAAAGATAAATTACAATCAGACACAGAACAAGCTAACGTATTCATCACACACCTATTTGTTCAGGGTATTGAATCCACGACCTAAAACTACACACTAAACATCAGACTGATAGGCTAGTGTTTATTACATTTATTATTTATGGACTTTTAATCAATTTTTTTTATCATTTTAAAATCCAAATTGTTGAATTAGTCTCTTTGTTTTCAGACTCCAAAAAACATTAACAACCTTTTAACATTTGATTGTTGAAAATTGTGTTCGTCATTTAATTGACGACCGTTAGCATAAACATTCAAATTAAAATAATTGATAAAGGTCTACAACAAATAATACAAAACGTGTAAGAATATCTTTACCCATATTCTAAAGGTTTTTACAGTCATATTTTATTTTATTTTATTTATTTATTTATATAGTACAACTTACAAAACATACACTAATACATAATTTACAAACATGTTTTACAATTATTTTCTGAGTGTTGTCTTACTTACAAGTTGCCACGGCATGGTAAGGGACAGTTGCATCTAAGATTACAATGCAATATCTATAATAATACACAAAACATACAGAACATCATCGAAATTAGTTAAAGACAGTGATGATCTAAGAAGGTCCAAATGACGCAATAACTTTACTTTTAAATTTTGGCAGACTGTTTGAGAAGATGTCTACATCAATTTCATGATTTTTCGTCAGCTTGTTATACTGGCTTTGTAGTCTATTTATAGTAGCGTTCTGACCCAAGTTGGTTTTAGAAGATTTAATAGAAAAAGGAGCGTATTTATTGGCACGGAGAGACCTTGAGGGAGCATTTATATTTATTTTCTCAATAAGAATGGGGCAGTCTAAGTCACCGTTAACTAATTTGTAACGGTGACTTAGACTGCCCCATTCTTCATTCTTATAAAATACTAACTGCAATGGTTCTTCACTAATATTGTAAGGTAACAAGTAACCATCTACGATAGAATATTTTATTTCATTTATTAATCTATATATATAAAAGAAGAAACAGACAGACTGATTCAGTGACTGATCGATCAACGCACAGATAAAACGGCTGGGTCTAGAACTACGAAATTTCGCACAAATGTTCGTAAGAAAAGATTTTTAAAATTCCAACCCAAAAAAAAGCTTCTAGTAATAAATAAATACTCTAACATAACTCTTAAAATTATACTGATATACTTGTAAATATAGAGACAGGAAGACGATAATGTCAAATTCGAGAATTCATTAAAATTGATTACAGGAATTATATATAAACAAAAACTGCTCACTGCTATTTAGGTCAGTAGTTTTTAAAGTGCAAGGTCAAGTTCAGGTGTAGAACATAAAAGTGATTGTAATACGGTACTCGGGCTAGTGTTGGACGCTTAACACCGATATCGGTAAAGAATCTACCGATCGGTAGATAGTTTTGTCGAAATAAATACTATTTTATTGTGATCTATCGTTTGAACGATAAATGACCCGTATTATATTTCCCGAAATAATAGTGTAAATTTACTGTATGGAATGATGTTTTGTTTGTTTTGTTGGTTTTGTATTTTATTTTTCAATAAAAAAGGCTTTTCTAGATATTTAGTTTAAGCTGGATAACCAACAATAAATCTCAAAGACAGTGTTTTCAAATATTATCATACTAGTTCTTATAAAACCAAATATGATAGCTATAATTATATAAATACTTAATCGTCGTAACGAATACTGAAATGGTAAAAAATACGTTTTATGTAATCAGTTTTCAAAGGTTAAGGTCATTCCCCGTAGATATCGCACAAAAGTAATAACCTAACTATATTTGAATTCCGTAAGAACAGTCTACGCGCGCACAAGGGACGCGTGCGATTTTTGATTAATTTGCGTGTTTGATTAATTACATTTCAGTTTTTGACCGTATGCGATATTTATTGAACAGTTTCCTTAAACAAGTTTTATTCTTTAACTAAAAGTTAAGTATAATATTGTAAAGATATTTTTTTATTACCTGTTTGCTTTTTTTACAAATACCTATTTGTAAACTCATTAAAAGGTACAAAATTTTATTATATTGTAAAAAGGTACTAATCTAAAAGAAAGCATTGTCCAGGTATCGCCTAATCAGAAGCCATAACACGAGCTCAATAAATCAACGAAAATATACTTAACACAGTTTTTTTTTATCTCATTTTCAATTTTAGGTTCACAAGAGTTATTTGTGTAAAGCAGTTTAAAAGTGTATAAAATTTATTATCTGTATAAGACAAAAAAACATTCAACACCTACTCATTAATTTACCATGCTAATGTGATAGTAACGAAAAAGTATTTAGAGTTTGTGTTAAAAGCGAAAGAATAAGTGAATTTAAAGCAATTTTTAAACCAAACTTTCACATCCCTTATTCACTACTGCAAGAACTCGAAACTTATAGATTTTGATTAAATCTAAACTGGTCACGTACGAGAATACATAAGAAGGAACGAGATAACATCATTATGTTGTTATTCTTCAAAGTGCAATGTGTTGTAATTAAAATGCATGTCTCTAGATTTTACCGTCTAAACCTAGTTCTACTAACTGTTATGTTAACATAACAGTTAGTATGTGGTTTAAAAATTAAGTATCGATATAAAAATATATATTTTTTACCAGCTATGGTTGTTTGGACACGTTGTAAGGATGCTTGACGAGAGGGTGGCCAAGCGTATTTTCTATTGTGACAGATCCTCAGATATAAAGATGTTCAGAAAAGACACATGAAGAGATGCAATATAGACCCCTGTCATTGGGGGAATTTGGCTATAGACCTGAGTGGAGGCGGTTAGTACAACAAAATGTTAACAGCTTTGAAGATCAAAGTAAGTGTGATCTCCATTGCAAACGAGACAAACTCAAAACAAACCAGCCCTAAGATTATTTACAATGGTGTGCTAGCTTGTCCCCACTGTACGCGTACTTTTAGTGCCAAGATAGGGTATGTAAGCCACATCAGAGCACACGCTAAAAACTCAGATGCCCAGAAATGAAATCGGCATGGGATAGTATATTTATTTTTTATGAAAGAGGGGGCAAAGAAGCAGACGGGTTACTTGATGGAAAGTGATTATCGCCGCTTATGAATGCTTTCAATATATATAACTGTGGCGACTTCCACATAAACATACTACAGCGCCATCTAATGAAGACGCATCGAACTACGGAGTAACTACTAAAATAGGAATTGCTAATCCTGTATCGCGATATAAAGAATTCCCTCGCCGATTAGCATATATACAACTTCCTAACCTCACCTCGCCTGGTCGGAGGATCCTCCCTTTGTGTTGGAGGGACATGACACCCGTTCCTCCACATAACAAAAATATAACGCTTGCTATTTATTTGTTTGTTTATTCTTCCATTTATATATTTTTCTTATTTGTCTATAATTTTTGTATTTTCTTTTCTTTCTTTTTTTTTTATAGACAACTCCCGCACTAGGAATAAATCCTGTGTCACGGGGGACTTTACAAACATACATGAAACGGGCACAAAGAACACCCAGACTCAGAACAACAATTTGTGGATCACACAAAGTGTTGTTCCATGTGGGGTTTGAACGCACAACACTCGGCGTAATAGAAGGCGGCGTGGCGACCGCTTAAACCAGTACGCCATCCGTGCAGCTTTGTTTCTAGATTAACGCTGTGTTTGTCTAACAAGTATTAGCGACGTACATATGTTTATAGTGTGCGCGAGATCGCTGGTACCCCAAACACAAGTTGAATCTTATTCTGGGTACCAGAGTTCATCGTAAATACTGTCAATATCGTGTTTGTTACGCTGTTTATGTATTTTTGTGTCATTTTGTGAAATAGTCCCATAGTCAGGAGTCCCAAGCACGTTTGGCGGCAGGAGCCTTTGAGGCAGGAGTACGCTCTTATTTTGAAGGTTTGAAGGTCGTATCGGTCCGGAAATACCGCAGACGAAAACTTTTATTAATGATGTATGTTTTAAAAAATTGCGGGCCAGAGACAACCGAAGTTTTGAGCATCTTGAGATTGTATACAACAGAATAAACCAACCGTATAATCTGTAAACAAGAGTTTTTTTTTAAGGTCTAGCTAGATTCTAGTTGTCATGGTTTTTGGAGTCAAAGCGATTCATAAATTATCATATACTACTAGTACCTTACAATAACTATGAATTATTTGTTTTTTTTTTAATCGATAATCGACTAGAGGCAAAAAACTATGGTGTTAACAAACAACCTGATTTTTATCTTGTATACTATAAAGGTCTCTAACGGTATTATGGTGAATATGGCGATTAGAATAAAACCTTCAATAAAATACCCCCGACACAAAAAAAACCTTAAGAAATAACAACTGCTCATAAAGACTGATGTAATAAGCCCAAACATGGTATATATGCTGTAACTTTCTGAGGATTTGGCTATCCCGCAGACTACTTGATCCAGCAGGTTGCCATGAGATCCCTTCATCACCTAGGAAGTGAGCTGATGATCTTCAAAATTTATAGCTGAAACCATCTCGATCACATTGGCTTTTCAACAAAAAAATCCGCATCGAAATTGGTCCATCCGTTTGAGAGCTATGATGCCACAGACAGACAGACAGATACACAAATACGCACACCCCTCGTTTTCTGATTTAAGATTTTAATGTAGATTTTAATGATGTTCATCTCATTTAATTTTTAACGTTCACACAACTCTATATGTCTATATTCAACCTACACTCACCATCTAATTCGGTGACTTTTACAATCGAGAACTTGGCCTGTAGTAAGCTCATTAGCGGTTTAAGCAAAAAGCTGACGACTTGATGTCAAGCTTCGAACTCGCCAGTAGACCGCGCGAGTGGCCGCACGTTCCTAATTTAAATTTTTAAACATCTGCATTTATTTGATTCTGTCGAAGACAACGTGATATTTTTATTCAAGATGACGCTGCAATACATGCTCGGAATTTTGGTAAGTAGCATTTATTTTTTTATATTTGATTTCAATTATTTTTAGAAGAGTAAGTATTGTGTTTTAATGTCTACTAGTACAATATGTAGCTAAAAAATCACGCCTATATTTAAATATAATGTGATATTTGAAAATATTCTTACATTTCCAATTTCAAAATCTTTTTTTTTTCATACTAATTATGTCATACTCCATTTTTACACGGTGTCATGTGTGGTTAAAATCATGAACCTAAGTTTTAATTTGATACAACAGGAATTAATTACATATAAAGTACAATATATGTATAGTACACATATTATTATGTACTTAAGTATAGTATTAAATAAGTATTTAATTTGAAAGTGATCTTTAAGTAAACATAGTTAAGTTAATTTTTCAAATGCATTTATAAGTCGGAAGGAATCAGTTTTATTCAAGTGTGATGTGTCCCAAAGTTGTCGAGTCAATCAATTACTATAAATTTAAAAATAATTATTTAGTTAATTCGAGTAGAAGTAAATTTGGAGCGAGATAGTATGGGATTTGTATATTAGGATATGTAAGGGATTTTTTTTTGCTTATTTAATATATTTATTCATATATTCACAAATTTTTGGACGAGGTTTTATTTAATAGGTATAGAATTGGTTGCATGTTATCTATTTATGTTTAAGTAAAGATAATTATTTATACGCCCATTTAAAAATTAATTTTTTTCCCGAACGCGGGATTATAAAATACGAAGTAGGTACTTAAAGCTCAAGTGAACTAAATAAGCAAGACGAAGGACCAATAATTGTGATACATATTAGAAGAGGTCTCTGTCCATAAACTAATGTATTGATTGAATACTTATTTTTAGCAGTAGCGTTAAAAACTAAGACCTTAAACAATATGTTTTATGTATTTAAAACTTATACCTGGCATTGTATAGGTAGTTCATACAATGATAGTTTAACTTATACTGGTCACAAACAAAGCATTTAAAGTGATGACCACTTGTATTGTTTAATTCAATTTAACCTATACAATTATTTATGTTAGGTTATTGTACTGTTAGGCTGTATAATGCGTAAATTGAGCTGACCCAATAATACAAGGAAAAACGTGGTTAAGTTCAAGTAAATTCTTCTTTTTGTGTGTTTTATCTCGGTTTGCTAATATTTTTTAAGCAACTTCAAATTTATCGTTTTAAACTTAAGTCAACTTTAGTATAGGTATCTAAAAATGTGTTTTTAGAATTTTTAAAGCGATTTATAAAAAAACTTTCTTAGAATAAGAAACCTGTTTAAAAAGGGGTTCTTAAATATAGACAAACTTGTTTAAATGTCTTAAAACCTTATCAATATTCTAGTAAATGTTCTGATTAATCTGTTATAGCCAATGTTATCGTTTCTTTTAAAAAGAGCGTTATTTTTTCCTGGCAAATTACTGTTATAGTCGGAAACTCTATTTGTGAATGGCCTTAAAAGGCATCATCTCCTTTAAAGTCAACTCTGTCTCTCGAATAACATTGAGAAGTTGAGAAGAAACATCCATCTCATTATTCTGGGTTAGATTATTATTAATTGCATTACCAGAGAATAAAATTCAAATAATAATAATAATAATATTATACCACATTCACACAACGCCATCTAGTCCCAAACTAAGCAGAGCTTGTACTATGGCTACTAGACAACTGATATAAATACATATATACTTTTTTTTTGTAAATACATACTTATTATACATAGAAACACCCAGACCAAATCAAACATTAAATGTTCATGCACACAAATGTTTGACTTGAGCGGGAATCGAACCCGCGACCTTTGGACTTTTCAAAATGATGATTAAATACATATACGTTATTAACGTTAGTACGTTTATAAGTGTCCACGGATGGAAAGAGGTTTGTTTAACTTTTTAATTTATTCCTTTGACGTGAGTACATAATATATAACTTGACGGGCCTGTTGGTCTAGTGGTTAGTGACCCTGACTGCTAAACCGGAAGTCGTGGGTTCGATTCCCACCCAGAATAAGTATTTGTGTGATGAGCACGATCGTTTGTTCTGTGTCTGGGTGTAATTTATCTATAATATGTATGTATTTAGAAATATATAAGTATGTTTATCAGCAGTCTGGTTACCATAGTACAGGCTCTGCCTAGTTTGGGATCAGACGGCCGTGTGTGAGATGTGTGATATTATTATTATTATTAATCTATATATATAAAAATGTTAAGTAAGTTTGTTTAAAAACCTCAAAAAATTCACCACCGATTGAGCTCAAATTTTAACATGACATACAACCCGCTTTAAATATGGTATTTATCTATTTTTAATCGACTTCAAAAAGGAGGAGTTTATCAATTCGGATGTTTATATTTTGTTTGAATTGAAACTTCTTTAGAATGGTTGTGATTTGAAACTCGATGAAACGAAAATGTGTCACGATAAAGAAACAAACACATAAATGTATAGGATTATGTCGACGAGAGAATGAGATAGAATACATTACACATTATATTTAATATAATATTTTAACATTGTGAATATTTTTATCTTTTTATTTAATAATAATAATATATTTTATAGGGACTTTCCGAGTTTTTTTTTTATCGGAACTTTCACTTCTGCCGTGTGTGAATTGCACACACTTTATACTTATGTTCGGGCATAACTGTAATTTAGACGGATTTTCAAATATTTTTTTTTATACGAAAGTAGTTTATTCCGAAATGGTCTCATTAAATTTCATATATTATATTCATATATTTCGTATATTTATTGTTTCGGAAACTCAAAAAATAACAGCAAACCAGTTTTTAGTGCTCTTTGTTAGTAGTATTGTTTGAAGTCTGTTCAAATTTCTTTAAAGGGATTTTCTTGTTTGCGTCAATTTCGTTCTTTATTTCAAATTTTAATTTTAATTCAAATGCCACCACAATATGCAACAGCAAAGTGTGAACGGGTACAGCTAGCATATAAAAAATAATGGTATATCTTTTTATCTATTTGGCTGAACGCGATAAACACAAAATCACCAAATGGATTTTCAGAGGGTTTTTAATAATAAATAAAGTAAAACATAGGGTAGTTCTACGTGTGTCATTTTAGGTTTAAAAAAACAATTATAAATAAAATATGACAGAAGAGCCCAGGGAGCCTTGCTGACGTGCGCCGCGTAAACCAATAAACTATTTGAAAATAAACTATTTGATATTGAATATTTGCAAATATATTACAGATTTATTTTCCTTAAAATATATATCTGATAACCTACAGGTTACATAATAAAGTAATTATGCAGGTACATAACATGCTCTAATAATGGAGCGAAGCCGGGGTTGGTTGCTAGTTATGTTTGTAATATAATATAACTCACCCAGGTCTATCGGACCCCAATCTAAACCACCCTAAGCGACCCTAATGCTTCTGATGAACATAATCATATACTTCTAAATAGCCCATCACACAATCTCTGTTTGTTCTTGTTTTTTAAAAAGACAACTCCCGCACTAGGAATAAATCCTGTGTCGCGGGGGACTTTACAAACATACATGAAACGGACACAAAGTACACCCAGACTCAGAACAACAATTTGTGGATCACACAAAGTGTTTTCCCATGTGGGGTTTGAACCCACAACACTCGGCGTAATAGGAAGTGGCGTGGCGACCGCTTAAACCACTACGCCATCCGTGCAGTCATACAATTATTTGTTCAGGGTGCAAATCGATCCCGACCCTCTGGCTCAGCAGTTAGTTAATAGAAGTATTTACGTATAAACAATGTAGGATATATTAACATTTATTAACGTTGAATTTTTTCTATTTTTGGACACTAGTTTAAAAAATATACTTGACATATCGGTTGTCTATGATACTGCTCGACTTGTCAAACTACTGTCAATACACGAAACGAGTTCCTTACCTGCATTGCATCTATGTCACCTAGGAGTGTCAAAGTGACTTTTTGCACAACTAGTTATTTTTTTAAACATAACTTGAGACGCGATCTTCTTATAAAACTATGCGAACTACTGTGCCTGTACATTTTTTTTTTATTTAGAAATATCACACAGGGCCGTATGATGCCAAATTAGCAGAGCCTGCACCATGGCTCCCAAACTGCAGATAAGCCTACTTATAAATATTTCTAAATACATACGTATCATAGATAAATTACACCCAGACACGGAACAGATGACCGTGCTCATCACACAACTATTTGTCCTGGGTGGAAATCGAACCCACGACCTCCAACTTAGCAATCAGGGTCACTAACCACTAGACCAACATGCCCGTATATTTTCCATTTTTTTGTATTTGACCAGTTCAATGGGTTTTTTTCGTTTCACTAAAATAATATCTTTAATCACTATACACACACCGCAAACATTAGTGCGACCGTTTTTTCCGACTCTTAGAGAGCCGAAGCTTTGTTCAATAAGGTCATTGACCGGTACAGTAAACAGAACACACTTTAAAAACTTACATTCCATAAACCTACCAATGAAACGCACTTAGGAGATATTTATGGTCAAAGTAACTTATTCCTCTTTTTCTATCTGTCAAACTGTACTTTGTATATATATTTATATATATGTAACTATAATTAGCTCTCTTGATTTAAGTGTCAAGCATTTATTTGAAATCTTTCTCTAAACGGAGTTCTAAGAGCATCTGTCAATCTTAGACAATCTCTAAAATAATGAAAACTCCTTTTAAATTATCATTGCTTTAGCTTTCAAAATTGTCTATGTATAGAATGGAGTTGCCGATAATCAGTTGATGTGATTCTCGATTTTTTTTACGGTACAGGAACCAACAAGCAAACTGCCAACTAAAATTCACAGACGGGTTACCGCCCTTTGAGTATCCCCCTCCATTAAAGGGATTTAATGGAGGGGTACATTCAATCCTTTAATTGCCTGGAAAAGGGAGGGCTCCGGTAACCTAACTCACTCGGTAAAAACCCACAAAACAATTGCTTAACATCAGTTTTCTGTGAGGCCCTGGTAACACTCCAG